CGACTGTTAAAACTTGAGCAGTAGCTCTTAAGAATTCAACAAAGTAAGAGTATCAAACATACAGGATTTAAAAGAAAATATTTTTGTCAGGATTATTATTGACACTATTTCCCTTTACTGGCATCAGTTAAACAGGACAAAGGGAAATAAATAGGTTAGGAGGTGAAAATGAAGGACCTGATGTCAGCAGTACCACCTTGGACAACATGTAGTGCCAGCTCTAATGCTACCCCATGCATCGCCCCTGAAGGCCTTCATATTCATATCCAGCACCCATAATTAAGGTGAACCACCATCTACTTAGAAAAATATTCATCCTATGCTAAAATCAAAAGGCCAGTCTCATATTTTAATAAGTTTTTCTCTATTGCTGTAAAATATGAGCTTCCAGCATTTATATAGCGTAACAGTAGTACAGGATCTTTAGAAAAATGCATTAGTTGGCCAATGAATAAACATAGGATATAAGAAGAACTTATATAGGGAGTTAATTTTTGAGGACCGTGTAGCTAGAAGGTTCAGGACAAACTGATTATGGGTGTTTTCATTCATTTGTGCTTTCAATCAACTGAAAGATCGTACCTAAGGAAGCGGCCGGTGATTGAAGCACTGTTACTACCACAATGTGCCATAGATCAGAACTCAGCAATTAAGAGAGGACAGAAAAACAATGAGGTGTGTTCAGTCTAAGTAATAGCTTTCCGTTATTCCCTGAATGTCAGAAAAAATTGCTGAGAAAAGGAAAGGTTGCTGCTATCAATTCAAACCCCTGCAGTCAGGCAGCGTTTGGAGCAGCCATTTGGTTTCCATCATCAGGAATATTGTGCTGTCTGGGCTGTAAACCACAGAGCTAATCTTAGCTGTGACTTCAGTCTGACTCCCCTGAAGTTTCATTCTCAGGATGCCACAGGAAGGCAGAGCCAAGGAGGAGACGAAGCACACCAAGGCTGAGCTTCCTAATAGGTTTTCCTCAAACACAGCAAGCAATGAGATGGGTAATGTAGAACCTACAAAGAAGGCTAATTAGAGTGAAAGTCTGGCTTTAATGCAATCCTAAGACTTCCATTTCCTGTTGCTTTCAGCTCATAGCTCTCTTGGGCTTTAGCTTATTTAAAGTTAAGCAAACTCTGTGATAGTGATTGAATTCCTGACTTAAATCATTAAGGTTTTTCATTCCAACTAAGGCAACAAAGAGAATAACTGCAATTGATATAGCAAAAAGCGACCTGAAACTCAGTAAGCAGTTCATGAGCGTGATGCAATCAGTAGACATTTTTTAAGAAGGCTGCGGGAGCCCAGAGGGTGGGGGGTAGTGGGTGTGCTGAACCGAGTGGCGCTCAAACAAAAGAGTGTTCTGCAATGTGTGCGTGAGCCCACATGGCCAGTGGCATGACTGGACGCAAACAATCCCTCACCATAGCAACCTGGCTCCGGCTTTGTCCAAGCTTTGTACACAGACGACCGGACTGATTGGAGGGCACGGTCTGGGAAAAAGAGGCCAAACAATCTGAAACAATTAAGAAGCAAGCAGCGCTTTCCTGTTGCTTCCTTTTTGTCTCCCTTCAATGTGGGTACGGAAAAGCATGGAGGTGTGCACAGTAGCTGGGTTTCTTCATTTTAGGAATAGCTGAGGTTCCGTCTCCTTCTGCAACTCCTGAAGTAATTATATAATCTCCCCAAAGAAGATATTAATCACCCACAATGCAATCAATAAATTGCACTATAAGGTATGGTGATAGAGGGAGTGGCAGCCTAGTGGTTAGGGCATAGAGCTTGGAATCCTGAGGTTCTGAGTTTGAGTCCCACTCCCAAAGACTTTGTTGCTCTGTAGTTGTGACAGTGCAGTGACAATAAAAAGCTGGAAATAATATATATACAAAAGGTCAAGAAGGCCTAATTTGCAGTCTGATGTCTGAATACTCAACTTTACACTCTCAATCTGTCCAATTTGAAAGAGAATAAGCCTGTCAGAAACGTTTAAAACTAAATCTGACAGCAAACTAATCCTGTGTACACCTCATTTAACCTTGCAGTAACATGAAGGGAAGAATCCTAACATAGAAAGTAGCTGAGGTTGCTGCGTCCTGCTGCTAAGACACAGCAAAGTGACAGACGTTGTCATGTTCGAAGGCATGCTGGTGTCGCATGGGAAAACGGCAAGCAGAAACGCTAATGTCAGCAACTGTTTCTTTCACAAGGAAATTAAATTAGATTTCGACCCTTGTCCCAAGACTAGATGTCACTTTCCTTGATGGAGTGTCCTGTGGACTTCTAATACAGTAACACACTGATGATTTTGCTTTAGAATTGGCAAGCTGCCTTCCTCTACTGTAGTATCCTGCTTCTGCCCCTCAGCGTAATGTCTACGGCACTCGTTAAATTACCTCCACCCAGTCTGTTTCTCCCTCTGGTTCAGATTTTGTCTAAACTCATCTTCAAATGAAGACTGTACCATAGCTGCAGGTTTGGACAAAAACCTGCGAGGAATGAAAAGCTTCAGCACTTTATAAGCCTGAAAAGTTTTGCATTCAGCTACTGTCAGTCAGCTATTCTGAGACAGAATGTGTATGATTTTAACATGGTGAAAAACAAGCTGGCACATGCAGCGTTTTGCAATATCTATGTGTTATGTTTCTAGAAAGATGTCATGATTGCTACACTGAAACAGAAACACCACCACCTTGCAAACTCAAAAGTTAAAACTAATCAGATTGATGGAGACAATAAGCTCGTAAATCTGGCAGCTTAGCTGATCATGTGATGAAAACAGAGGGAGTCTGCTGAAAGACGGAGATTTACTCCAGTAAGTCTGTTAAGACTTTTCCGTTGCAGTAGCTAAAATCTTAGCAGCAATGACTACAAGGACAGGACAAATGACTTCCAACTAAAAATCATTTATGAGGCTGGTTTGTAGTATTTAAGCAGGCAAGAGATTATTCTTAATCTCCTCAAACCTAAAACCAACATATAAATAGACTCATTCAGCGGGTTTGTTCATCCAGTTTGCCATAATATGCTACATTTCCTTTAGGAATGTACAAATGATTTCATTTATTAAGCATTCAAAATACTCAACAATGGCATGCAAGTACGCACACTACTGATTTTACTATACAAACTCTGCTAGTAAACAATCAATACCACAAAAACACCACAAAAAGCATCAGACTGTTTTTTTCTAAGCGTATCCATATTGATATTAATCTATTAAATTGATTAGTGCAACATAATGCAATTAGACCATAGCATTAGGATTCATCTATTTTCTGGAGATTATCTAAAGATTTAAGTCATACATAACCTTCAGTGTGTCTTGACCCTATTGAATTTGGAGTGTTGGAATAGAATAGAATATCCCTCATTGTCACACAATGGGGAAATTCTTGGGTTTACAGCAGCAAGAAGTTTGTAGAGCCTTTGAAAAAGTGTTTAAAAATAACATAATATAATAACATAACATAATAGAAGAGTTAAAAATACACAGATGAAATACTGTACAATCTAAAAATTGTGAAGCTGAAGAATAAAATAACAAATATACAGCTATGGAATGAATATCTGAAAATAGTTGCAAAATCAGAGATGTGCAAAATGACAACAACTTATCGAGTTTGTTGGGAACAGCAGTGGTTATTAAGTCTTACAGCTGCTGGGAGGAAGGATCTGTGATAACGCTCCCTGGTGCATTTAAGGTGCAGCAGTCTGTCACTGAAGATGTTAGAAGAAAATTTTATGCACTACCTTAATCTAGACATCTTTGACTATTTTAGATTTTACTCCCTGTTTCATTAATATATCAATTTCTAAATCTACTAAAAGCACAAACATAATCAAGCAATACTTTGAAAGGACATCATCATATCATCAGCATATCATGACACTAGGCATTCGTCTGGAGGTTATTTTATATCAGGGAAAGCAGAATGTTTCAGTTTTAATGGCTAGCAAGATTATCTTAATACACCCCAATCTGGCATAGCATTGTGACCACAAGTCCAAAAGTGTGCTGTACCCCCTTTTTCCGCCAAAACACCCCTGACCCTTTGAGTCATGGATCAAGCTAGCATCCATTAATACAACTCTCTAAAGATCCTCCTTTATCACCCAAACATTTGGTCATTAAACAGCTGATAGGACCATTTACAAAAAAGACAAAAAAATTAAATTAGTTCATAATCTAGCTTTTTAATTAAACGTATCAACCAAAAATAATACTGGTAGATTAAGGCTGATTTAAAATAACCTATCAACTAACATGATTTAGTGTAGAAACTGGTCAATTTTAACTATTATTTTTATTTTTTGCTTATGGATAACTTTTGTTGTGTGTTCTGCAGTTTGGAAGTATGTGGTGCCAGAGAGGAGGATGGTAATTACATGCACAAGATATTTTTTTCAGTACTTTAAAAGAAAAAAAGAAAAAACCCTGCAAGCTTTGAGAACAAGCAATAATCATTCAACCTGCTCAATAAGCTTTGGGTAATTGGTTAGTCTGTGTATATAATGTAAAAAAAAAAAAAGCTTGGTTACTTCTCCAATGTTTGGTTTAATCTAGTTAAATGCATTTAACCAACCAAACCCCCCTTTGCTGGTTCAGTTGCTCTAATCTTACTTGGCTTCTGCTTGAGACTAGCTTTGGATCAAGGTGTTTCTACCAATAACATAAAACTGCATTAACTTTCATCACACATGAGCTTCCAGGACCTTTATACTCTGCTTTTTCCCAGTGACTCAATAGAAAAAAGTTTAGATTTAGAGCTGTGATTCCTCTGCAGACCCACACACTGACCACTGTACACTCACTTCCTGCAGCCTCATTGATCTGCTATGCTCGGACCTAAATGCAAACTCAAGGTTTTTCTTTCCTTCTTGTGAAAACAGAACATATTTAACATTTCTCACAGATGTAAAAGCCTATTAAAGTTGCGCACCAGCTGATCAGTTTTATAATAATTAGTCGCAAAAGCCAATGAGGTTATTATGTTTTCTGAAGCACATACCTCATTTAGTCGCAGCTCGCCGTCTGTCGGCGGATTTAAAACCCTCAGATCGAAGCATCAACCTCTTCTGAAAGAAATCCAAAGCTTCCTATAGCAGGAAAGAGCAGGTTAATAGTTTAGGATCAATCCGTGCGTTGCGCTCCCGCAGCCTCCTCTTCCTCTATGAAGCCATGTGGATGAACGCACCAGCGCGTCCCGCTTCGGACATCCGACAGGAGGGTTGGACGCATCTGCTGCTCTGCCCATCAGTGACGGGGACCTGACTGGTGAATTAGATCGCAGCGCAAGGCATGATGGAGCCATTAAAGGCTGTGGCGCAATGGTTGAGTCTACATGGACCCGGGTCCACTCAAGCTGCTTTAAAAAACATTGGGTCATATGGCAAAACGCTTTTTAAAATTATTATTATATAGATTTTATTTAGGGTTGTTGTTCTGTTAATATATGCACACCTGAAAAAAAAAAGATAGATGTAGGGAAGACAAACTTAGACACATAAAAAAATAAAATAAATTGAGCATATATATTTAAATTTATACAAAAGTAATAATAATAAGCGGTATTATTATTAGTAATAATAATAATGATAATTGAAGTTTGATTTCAACATGGGCGGTTCTAGGCAGGTGTCAACGGAGGCCAGTGCCCCTCTAGATCATGTCCTGGCCCCTGTTATGCTACGTTCACACCGCAAGCAGCGAGAGCAGCAAAAATGCGCATGCTTCATCATTTTTGATGCCTGTAACAGTTTAGTTCTGACACGCAGCTGGAGCAGCAAAGCTGTGGTGGAAAAGTGGGTCCTGTTTTTTATTCATGCTTTTCTGTGCTGGCCCCCTGGTACATTTGGTCTAGAACCACCACTGGATATCACACTGGAGAAATCTGTATTTAACCCATCCCCTTGGGGAGCAGTGGGCTGTCGCTGTGCGGTGCCTAGGGACCAGTGTGGGGTTAGGGGCCTGCTCAGGGACCCAGAGTGAAGGCTATGGGGATCGAACCAGGTACTTGCACCCTTCTCAGAGCATAAGTACAGTACCTGATAAATGTGCAAATCTCTTTTCAGTAGCTTTTAATTAATTCCCTTTAGTAATAATTATTTTTTTAATTACCGTGGTAAATAATAACTTCATATATTTGTTTATTTTATATATTCAATTTCTGCGTATGTTACAATATTTCCATCTCTATTGAGGAGGGGATGGTCGTAATTGTCATGCTGAGTGCTCCTACAGAACATGTGGTACAGTTAAGTGGCAGACACAGACACAGATGTCAACAGTTTAGAAAAACTAGATAATTGTTTCACATCAGAATCAGTTATACTACAACTTTGTTGTTTCGAATTACATTCCCAGAACCAGTTTTCTCCATTTCCTCCACTCCTGATCTTTAATTCTTTTAAGACTCAGTCCACGGCTTCCAACTGTTTAACCAGGGAAACAGACTCCATCACACTGAGCTTTCCAGGTTTTATTACATCCTAACCTGAGCTAACTCTGCAGGTTGTGGCTTATAACATTTTCAAAACGAAAGAAAATCAACTAAATTAGTTTGGTTTTGGATGTGCCTGTAGTAATAAGGATTGGCAGCTTCCCTTGTCTCGGTTTGGAAGACAAAGCATTGGTATATTTTGAAAGATATCTGCCTTGTTTCTTATTCTTGATTGAATCAAAATCTCTTTAAAATCAATATCTACCAAAGTCAATAAGAATTTTGGGTGCAACTTTATTCCATTCTTATTTTACTGTTTTTTATCTGTTCCATCCATGCAAGTCTGCAGACAGCTGTTTGCAGCTTTATTGTTTTATGTGCAACAATCTCAACACACCGTATTTCAGACATCTGGAAATAACCACAAGGCTGCTTACTTGTTGGGACAATGGAAGATTCAACGATAATCCAAATTTCAACAGATGTTCTGGGTATGATGAAATTATCACATACCATAACACAGGAGTACAATAAGTATCATTTTTTTTATTTGTAGCACACCAAATAAGGGATGATCTAAGAGCCCCCTTCTTTCATTTCATAACAAAAGTTAAATATCTCTGGATCCATGTCACTAGGAAAAGAGATAAAAACTGGATTTGCTCCTCCTGTCGAATGTTGCCTTCTGATGAAAGGGCTGCAATTCCTGTGGGGGACTCTGGGATGATTGATTTTGCAGAAAATATAATAAAATAACATTTGAAACCATAATGATTGTAACTAAATAATTATTACTAAGCTGAATAAAAAAGCAAATTAAAAGAGATATACATTTGTCTCACGTAAATAAATTACTGCTTAAATGGATTGATTTAGTGTTTGTTGTGCATTTAATTGTGCACTTATTTATTTGAGCATTTATTTTTTAACGTCAGAATCTGTCCCCCATACAGGTGTATCTTGATACATGAAATGAAACTGTTGAATACATTATATTAGCTAAAATATAAACCATTTATCATAATAAAACGCCTTATAAAAAATCTAAATTCTTATACTTCTGAATAATAACTAGGGTGATATTGTTTCGAACTTACACTGTAAATTCGATGTATATGTATTAAATTTAGTTCTGTAATTTCTAAGAAAGGGGAAGCTTTACATTTTATTTTATTTTTCTTCCAGCTCAGTTTCTCATTTGTTAAAAGTAAGTAATGTAATAGTATGTGTTTGAGACTTGATCACTTATAAATCAAGGGATTTTTTTTTGTAAAACTATGATCTTATTTACATTTAACAGCATATTTTAGCTATTGTGGTAATGTTTCTTACATGAATTGTCATTGCTATTTCTGACATTGCCAAATCAGTTAAAATGAAAAAAATTAAAATAATAAAATAAAGTCTCTTGGCCAGAATAAAATACATTGCAGTCCTTAATCAAAACAAGTATCTTTCCTATTCCTAGCAGTAAACAGGGGATGAGAATTGGAATTTCAGACACAGAACAAGCAATTGCCCCCCAAAGAACACATCAAAAACTTCCACTGCGAGAGCGGCGACAAAAATGTTTTTTTTAAACCCAAATCAAAAAGCTTGATAAATAGTGTTTTTTTTTTTTTTTGTACCACCTCAACTTGCAAGAAGTTAGCCAATAAACAATAAAAACTGTAAAAGATAATGGTAAAAAATACAGCCCAGCATCTCACCACAGCTGTTCAGAGTACGAATAAATAGTTTAGAACTTTGATTGAAAACATAGGCATACAGATGGGGAAACAAAGATATTATGGATATACTAAAGATAAAAAGTAACCTCATGTGATGCCTTCAGATACCATCGTGCTCAAGGAAATAGAATTGGTTCCCCTTCATTTATTTCAGCAGATAGGACCAATCCCAGTGGTCTATAACTTATTCCTGATGTGTTGCTTTCCCTGCACAGCCGAGTAAAATGGCTGAGTGCCTCACTGGCATCAGTCAAGCTCTACAGAACTCAGCTAATGAGATCAATTTTAATCAAGTGTGACTCAGAGTTTAAGATCAACTAGTTAGTTAAGACCAACTTATGTTAGTTTTGTGTCACACCATGAGCACTTATGGTCCAAACCAAAAATGAGACAAAATTAAACATTCCTATTAAAAATTAAACTATTCACTAAATGCAACTGAATAAAATTTTGTGAGAGATTTTAAAATCTAAATCTGAGAAGAGGATGAAAGTTGGTTGAGAAACGAAGGTGCCCAGTTTTCATTACCTCTCATTAGATCCACCTGTTCCAGCTTCTACTAAACTGTTTGGTCCCAGTCATCAGTGCCAGATTATTTGAGCCGTAGGTGAGAATTCTCTAGGCTACCCATCTTGTTTGTTCTGATAACCTGATCCTGAATTGTTTCTGTTCCCGGACCTTTGAGCTTGCCTGCCTGTTTTGATCCGTTTTCGGACTCCTGCTGGATTCTGTCTTCTTACCCTGGATTGGATTTCGCTATGTTACCTCTTCCGATCCCAGATCTTCTGGTCTGGACTTCTGCTACCTCATCGACACCAGCTTTGGCTTCTCCTTCTGGAATCACCTGCTCTCCGTCATCTGGAGGCTTCTGCTCGTCAGTAGCCCCGTCTAGTATCCCCGTAGCTCCCGTCAGTAGTCTTACGGCTTTGACTTCTGGAACTCTGTGCGGAATCCACTGCCTGCTGTGGAAAAATCAACCGGCTGGATTCCTCTCCTTTCTCTGGACTCTGAGTGAACTTAATAACCAGGTTAGTGACTCACATGCTCTTAATCGCCCTCTGTCAGAGTTTCCAGGTCACTAACCTTATCATGATTTGGTTGAGGTTGAGAGGACCCAAATGTGGTAACAGTTAACGGAGGCAGGAATCCAAAATCCAACTTAATATATAACACAGACCAGAACCATGGAGACATGAGGGGAAAACAATCACAAGGAGCCAGAGTAAGATGAAGTATGACAGAGTAAGACGATGTTAGACGAGGAACCAGCACTGAGGAACTGCACAAGGAGTGTATTTATGGGAGACAGAACAAAGAGAGGACTAACGAGCAGATTTGGAGCAGGTGTGAACAGAGCAGTCTGGGAAGGAGCTAGGGAAAAGGAGACCAACACCAGAGGGCAACAAATAAAAACCTTAGAACTCAAATATATCAAAAAATACAACAAAATAGGAATTAAACCAATAAAACTAGAAAACATGGAGCAAAGTAAAACCTAATAGAACCAAGACCGTGACAAACCTGTTTCTAGCTCTATAGAGTTTCCGGCCTTTTTGTTCTAGCTGCTTAGTCGCGGATTCGTCAAGCAGTTAATTAACAGATGGTATTATAAATCATGTCAGTCTGTCTGCCTAAATTCTGGGTCCATGGTTCCAGTTTCTGACAGAAGGATCTGACAAGGGTTAATCAGAGATGCTTAATACCTGCAGATTGAAGCTGTGACGAGGCAGGAGTTGAAGAACTATTTTACATGATTACTACCGTAAATGAAAGGAAAACAAAACAAATTTTGATGTTTCTACCACTGGAGAAAGTCTACATCAGTCTAAAGGGCAAGATGGAACATGATCTCTTGTATTCTCATTATTTATTTGTGACTAAACATCAAGCTCTATAGATAGGCACCCGTGTCAGTGTGCAAAGTCAGTCACTGGATGCAAAGGGCTGGGTTTCTTAGACAGGAAATGTAGGCGCATAAAATAAACCTGACCGCTGTTTTATAAATAGGATCAAACTGTAATGTTATAATGGACTCTGAATCAGTTTATATGGAATGCACTGACCGTATAGATACAGGATTTGTTTCCTGTC